TCTCAGCAGGCTGGATCGCATATATTGGCAGCTTTATTGCAGGTAAGCATCTTTACAAGAATCTTTCCCCAGATATGTTTTTTTACGTGACATAATTCAATACTATCACTACTATTTATAGTACAGTATATATATAGTATAGCACTATACTATTATAGGAACCATGGTGGCACAGTGGTTAGAATGCAGTATTGCAGGCTAATTCTGCCGACTGCCAGCAGTTCAGTTCTTACCCACTGAAGATTGACTCAGCGTTCCGTCCTTCTGAGGTCAGTAAAATGAGGACCCAGATTGTTGGGGGCAAAATGCTGATTCTGTAAACTGCTTAGAGAGGGCTGTAAAGCACCGTGAAGCGGTATGTAAGTACAAGTGCTAATGCCATTTGAATCTTCCTCTTTATCAAATTATTTAAAACAACAAAAACAACAACCCCACCCATACTGTCATTTTAGCAACACAGACTTGGCAATAACTTCAACAGCTGGATTGCATCTATTGCCAACTTTATTGCAGGTAAGAAAATTGCTAGTGGATACTTCCTCTTTATGAAGTTATTTAAAAAAAAACACCCACTAATACTGTCATTCCTAATTCTACATTCTGCCTGCTTTTGAAATTCATTTTAGTTCAGGTTTCCTGAGGATGTTTCAAATAGCAATAGCACTTAAGACTAATATACTGCTTCACGTGTTTTACAGCCCTCTCTAAGCAGATTTAAAAAACTCTTTCTCAAGTGGTTTATTTAAAAAAAAACCCATAGTAATTCATAATTTTATAGTCTGCTTGGTTTTCAAGTTCATTTCAGTTCACATTCTCTTAAAACAAGCATAAGAGCGTCTTATAGATGACTGCATAGGAGAACGTTCTCTTGAGTTCAACAGAACTTCAATATATTGGTTGAAACTTTCATGTTACAAGATTCTCTTGAATAATTGAAATTTGGAATGCAAATACTTTCAAAACAAACCAACTTTGAAATCGTTCATTCCATGAAATTTCTTTAAAAAAAATAGTAATCTTACTAACCCTATCAGAAAATAGTAGAACCTATCTGCTGTTGGATGACCTCAAACATCTAAGCAATATTGAACTGGCCTAATACATGAATGGGACACCACCCCAAAATCTCAGAGATGTAGGCTAGACAGGGAAGTTGAAAATGCGTCCCAAAAGAAGTCAGATCACTTCTTATTGTGGCCAAGACTGCAACAATATGGACATGTCTGTGTCTAACGATGATGATGATATAGTCACAAAGGAACAAGCCAGTGTAGAAAGTTAAAATATCAAAACAACAACTATAACCCCAAGACCAAATAGAGAAATTAGAATATTGGGAAATTATATAATTGTAATTGTTTCAACTATCTGTCATCAACCAGACAGAATTACCCCATCCTCTGGACTGCTTTGAAACCAGTTATGTTTTAAATAAACAGCATGGTTGGGGCCAATGAACCTCAGGCCTAGTGGGCATTTCCAAGGGCAGAAAAGGCATGGCTCCAGTATCTCCCAAGATGGCATTGTTTAGTTGATGGGAGATGAACCACACACGCCTTACTCATGCAGCCACTTTATGGACTAACTTTAGTTCCCAGTGCATCTTTCAAGGGTGTCTTCAAGTGTGGCCCTGTATACACTATCCCAGAGAAGAGACAGCTAAAGCATGAGTGACTGTGAGAAGAGCTTTTTGTTTCAGGAAAGGAGTTCATCAGCCATCCTTCCATCCTTCCGAGATCGGTAAAATGAGGACCCAGATTGTTGGGGGCAAAATGCTGACTCTCTAAACTACTTAGAGAGGGCTGTAAAGCCCTGTGAAGTGGTATATAAGTATAAGTGCTATTGGTATGTATAAATGGAAAGATGTGAAACCTAGAAAACAAAATTGGCAATTTAACCCAAAGGTGATTTTCAAAAGGCAACTGGTCTTTGTTTTCCATGAAGATGTTTCATCAGAGAAGCTTTTCTTGGATGAGAAGCAATATGTCTTCAAGGAAAAAGAAAGAAAGTCCAGTTGGCTTTTGAAAAAAGCACTTTTGGGACAACCTTGACCTGGATGACTGAGAACCTCCACAGACATTTGGCAGATTAACCCACTCTTCTCTATGCCAGTTTCTGAGTTTGGAGCAAATATGAAATACTTGGACTATCTCAATGCAATAAGCACCCGAAAGAGTCTGCCACCTTCTTTATATTGAGAGCAGAAAAGCCCATTGGTGTCTTCCATACTTCTGAAGGAAATGTTTCTACCTCTACCTCTTCCTTGATTTCCAGGCTTCTGCGTCATGATTGCCATGTCCATTTTCACAGGAGAGTTTGGTCTCACAAACCAATATGGATGGTCTTTCGGCTTAGGCTGGGCCTCTTTTCCATTGTACCTTCTAACTGGTAAGGATCTTTTTTAGATACTCTGGTGAGATATTTTTAAAGGTACATCTGTATGCATTCTGTATATTTTAACAACAGTGAAATTTGTTTTATTTTGGGTTGGGCACTAAGCACATTTCCTTCAAAGGAGAGTAATCAGCGAACATCTAAACATACAAACATCCAGATATTCTGTATTACAGCTTATCCAACCCCTTGCTAGCTTGGGACCGAAAATATTTGATGTTCGGGACATTTAGAAGACACTAGGCTACCTGATGTACCTGACATAAAGATTGTATGCAATTAAGAGCAATAGATCTATTCTGGAACATTGACTTTTGAGGATTAGAGCTTGGCCATAAGGAGATGAATAAAGAGATGAGGTTGAGTTCAAAGCTCCATAGATGCTTGGTTTTTTTTTTTAAAAAAAAATCTACTTCATCTGCTGTGTGGCTAATCTGTTATTTTTTTTGTCTTTGGACAGGTTCTCTTCTTTATAAATTGCATAAGAGTACAGCAACATCAGCATAGGAGAAATATGGTACTGCCTTTGGAGATGACCAGTGAAGCTGCACTGATAACCTGGAGGCACAGAGAATGTCCAATCAGAATTATTTGCCCTGCACCAAATTTATAAGATGAAGGATGAAGGCAGAAGAATTAGTTTAACTTTAGAAAAACAGCCATACATTCCCAGCCCGTCCCATTTTTCTCTAAAATATTCAGATTGTTTCTTTCTGAAGGCCATTCGGATTGCAAATGTTAAGAACTTTGGGAGACTTCTGCAAGCAGGTCCCAGGAAGCAGGAATTCTACTCTTCTCCCTTCTTTCCTGTTCCAGGAAACCAAAGGTGCTTTTTGATTGATCTGTGCTCTGAGGGTCCACACCCATTTGGCCTATTCAGGTGACCCAGAGAGTACAGATAAACCCCCAAGAGGCCTCAACGACTTTC